GATTTGCGACAATTAGGGCCAATACGCTATTTTACATGAGATACTTCATGCACGTTCATTCAAACGTATGGATTTTTCCAAGACAAACCTCTAATTTTCAGGATATTTTTTCATCAGCGGGTACCCCGCTTGAAAAAAATAATCAAAATTCATGCAGGATCCCCGCAGGTTGTCGGTATTAAAATATCTGGCGATGTTTCTTACCTTTACGCAGGATTTTTATTCTGCCGGCCATGGCAGAATCCTGCATAGTTTATGTAGGGTTAACGTGGAAAAAATCTTGCGTGGAGTTAAGAAACATCGCAAGACTTTTTAACTTCATCAATCCGCAAGTTTTTTCTCACGAGATCTGCCAGGATTTTGTCTCCTATATCTATCCTGCGGCATTCTTCAATCTTTTCTCACCAATGTCTGTCTAGGGTGACCGTGGCCGAACTTGTCTGTATTTTTACTTTTGGAAAGTTAAGTACTTTTGCATCTTTTTCTTGTAAACTTATAAAAGATTTTCTCGTGTCCAATTAACTTCTAAAAAGTGTATACCTTAACATTTTGGCTTCATGTGTAAAAAACCAAACTATTAATAGATAGCTGAAAAGATCCTTTTTATGTCAGGAATATTCTATTTTCTTCCGTCAATATGAAATTAAAGTCATTAGAATGATCCCACTGCTGTGAAAAAAAGATGTATAGCAAAGCAGAGATATCGAACTATTCTAATTTCTTCAGTTTTGAATACTGTATTGAGTGGTATATAATTTAAAAGCTTCGGTAAAAACATTGAGAAGTTAAAGTTAATATCTCTCTGTCTGGTACACTAGTTTACTTTTTATTATGTCGATAGAACCACCTAACGTAGAGATATTCTGAGAACGGGAGATAGTTCTCTGGGTTCTGAATGTGGACCACTTCACGTTCTACTTTTAAACAACCGCCATTTTTTTTTATTTGTAGGTAGAATTGAGAAATGAATCTGTGTACATATCTCCTAACTGGTGAATTGCTGTTTCCACATACACGCATCTAATAAAAGGTATACTAAGTGATTACCAGCTCTTTAGAATATAGAATTCTATGTTTTAAAGAACTTCGATGTGTCTTAAAACATACCGAAGAATGTCATTGAAAAGAGAAATGATTTTAAAAGTTTATCATTAATTGTCGAAACGGTTTAGAATACTCGCAATAAGAGGAAAAAAGGACCGATAATTACTCCGCTGAAATTGCTGCAAGGCTCTTTATAATATTTACTGCTTCTTATCTTTTATGTATTTGCCTAAGGATGGTTTACTCTGGTGTTATGTCATTTAAGTCCATAGCCTCAAAATAATATTGTTTTTCTTGCTGAGCGATACTGTGAAAAGTTACTGCTTAAACATGTGCCGTAATGTTCGATAGCTGAAAGTGTCCACATTGTCTATCGATGATGATTTAGCTAAAGAGAATAAAACGAAGAAATTGAAAGGCAGTTGCAAAACCGCCTATTCCGGGTGGTAAAACCATACCATCTGAACCATCAGAAAACCACCTAACAACTGTATGAACGGTCTAAAAGCAGCCACTAAAGTGCTCGTTAACTGGCAAATAACTGAGAGTTAACTGTCTAACTGTCAGTTAACTTGGCAGTTTTTAATGTCCTGGACAGTGGCTTACTTCTATGTCGTAGCCATAGATGTTATCGAGTCAAGTTCCAGTGTCTGTTCATAATAAGTCAAAGCCTTTGAGTAGTCACTCATGGCATTGTAGTTCCCTCCAATATTATTGTATGTCGTAGCCATAGATGGATGATTCGGACCCAGTGTTTCCAGTCAAGTTCCAGTGTCCGTTCACAATAAGTCAAAGCCTTTGAGTAGTGACCCATTGGCGTTGTAGTTTCCTGCATTATTGTACGTCGTAGCCATAGATGGATGATTCGAACCCAGTGTTTTAGAGTCAAGTTCCAGTGTCTGTTCATAATAAGTCAAAGCCTTTGAGTAGTGACCCATGGCGTTGTAGTTCCCTGCATTATTGTATGTCGCAGCCATAGATGTTTTCGAGTCAACTTCCAGTGTCTGCTGATAATAAGTCAAAGCCTTTGAACAGTCATCCATGGCATTGTAGTTTGCTCCCATGTTATTGTATGTCGTAGCCATAGATGTTTTCGAGTCAAGTTCCAGTGTCTGTTCATAATAACTCAAAGCCTTTGAATAGTCACCCATGGCATTGTAGTTCCCTGCAATATTATTGTATGTCGTAGCCATAGATGTTTTCGAGTCAAGTTCCACCGTCTGTTCATAATAAGTCAAAGCCTTCGAATAGTCCCCCATGGCGTTGTAGTTCCCTGGAATATTATTGTATGTCGTAGCCATAGATGTTTTTGAGTCAAGTTCCAGTGTCTGTTCATAATAAGTCAAAGCCTTTGAACAGTCATCCATGGCATTGTAGTTCCCTGCAATATTATTGTATGCCGTAGCCATAGATGTTTTCGAGTCAAGTTCCAGTGTCTGTTTATAATAAGTCAAAGCCTTTGAATAGTCATCCATGGCATTGTAGTTCCCTGCAATATTATTGTATGACGTAGCCATAGATGTTTTCGAGTCAAGTTCCAGTGTCTGTTTATAATAAGTCAAAGCCTTTGAATAGTCATCCATGGCATTGTAGTTCCCTTCAATAATATTGTATGTCGTAGCCATAGATGTTTTCGAGTCAAGTTCCAGTGTCTGTTTATAATAAGTCAAAGCCTTTGAGTAGTCACTCATGGCATTGTAGTTCCCTGGAATATTATTGTATGCCGTAGCCATAGATGTTTTCGAGTCAAGTTCCGGTGTGTGGCCATAATAAGTCAAAGCCTTTGAGTAGTCACTCATGGCATTGTAGTTCCCTGGAATATTATTGTATGTCGCAGCCATAGATGTTTTCGAGTCAAGTTCCAGTGTCTGTTCATAATAACTCAAAGCCTTTGAACAGTCATCCATGGCATTGTAGTTCCCTGCAATATTATTGTATGTCGTAGCCAT